AATATATGTTTAATCAAAAAAGATTTGTGAATAACAAAATACATTTTCTTATAGTTTAGAATATTAAGATTTTAGTTCATTGATGATTATTAATTCTGTGATAATTAGTGGCAAAGCTGAGTTTTTAGGACGGGAACGACAGTTTTCAATTTTTACATCAATAAATGTCTAGAAGCTCTTAAAAAATTACATATTAGTTTTAAAAATTTATTTTGATTAGTTATTAATAATATTCTCTTTCCCTCTCTTGTCACTCGCAAAAAATAATATTTATTGTTATGTAAATTATTTTTAAGGATGGGTATTACATTTATCACTCTGCAACCCAAATATTTTTTTATTTTATATAATCTATATAATATAGAGATTTAGTTTGTATATAATATACAAACTAAATATTTGGATTTTGTACATTTTGCAGGTAAATTTATAGTACTACAGGCACACTAGTAGACACGCATTGTTATAACCATATAACAATATAAGTTATAACCAAAATTACTACTTAAAAATCTTTTTAAGCGCTAAATTAACTTTTTCTGTGGAAATAAGTAGGGATTATTAAAAAACTTCCTTATTCAAATAAGGATGTCGCTAAAGATAAAATTTTAAATAATATATACGATAGGTAATATATCATTATTTTCTGATATAATATTTGGTATTTACAATAAACAAAAGAAAAAAATACATTAGTGTCCATTAACGAATAATTTTTTAGTTTTGAAAGTATTTATTTCGATCACACGAACATAAGAAACAAAATAATAAAAATATCTAAAAAAAGCTCACTGACAATGCTGTTGTCATTGCTGGACTCTGTTTGATCAGCAGGTCGACACTCGACTACTATAACCGTCATAGTATAGTAGTTAGTCTATTTCTATAGGCTATAATAAGGATACAAGTACTTTACTCAAATATTTATTTAAATGGCTTTATTCCAATTTTAAAGCCCTAGCAATTCTATCAGTTAAACGTTGAGGATTATAATCATTAATTAGACTTTTATTGAATAACTCTACATGTGCAGTGAAATTATGAATTATAATATTTCATAATATTAATAATAACACAATATTCCTATATTTTGATACACATATCGTTAATGATTATTACCAAACCGTTTTAAAGTATTCATTGCCAGGAAGAGTAGACACATTGACGTCAGCATGTGTGGGCGTGTCTTCTTTTAAGTCTTATCAATAATAATATAGTATCGTCGTTAGTGTTTATATACTTACGTACAGCAGCACAACGTAAAGCCCAAGTGAATTATGTATAGTGAACAAGTATAATTATTGTAATTAAAGATCATGTTTTAGTCCAAAACTAGTTGAAGTGAATCATTCTCATTTAGTGAATTTTCCAACATATTGAAGTGTATAGTATCATATGGTAGTTATAATATATTGATACATATTCAATTCACATACTGTTTTTAATATTTTCGTTAAGTTTTACAGTTAATTTTACGGTGTTATTCTGTTTAATTATGTTATATAAACAAACCTTTATTTGTTTAATGAAATATTGTTTCAATACATTTATCTCCACATTAATATTGGGTTCTGTTTAAAAAAATTATGGATAAACTTTACATTGACCAGCAATTCTAACATCTTGCTACTTTAATCTATTTACAATAATCAAAATTGCCTTAAGACTTAAAAATTAAAACTCAGCTTTTTGAAATGGCTATTTCTACATCTACCACCAGAGTTCTTTTAGTAACAGCTAATATTGGTTCAATATTTGAAAATGTAAGTATTTTATTAAGTATATATTATTTTTATATAAAATAGAATCATACAATTTTATTTTTGTAAATTTTTTAAACAAACATTTAACTTATTATTTTGCCACAATAATTTTGAAAAGTAATTGTTAATAATAAAGTGAAATAGGTCTATGAGTAGGGTTGTCTTCAGTCAACCACATTACCTATTTGTGTGAGTACTTAATAATACTAACCCATTAATAAAATAAATAATATTGTGGAATATTTAAAAAAATTAGTATGAAGTAGCGATCATAAATGAATAGAAAATATTAAAAAATACTTCTAATACTTTTATTTATATAAAAAAAAAAATAAAACTTTTTAAATGGTAAAAATCCAATGAATTTTATTTATGTTATTAATTAGGCAATGTATTAGGTTCTTTCCAAATAATTTTGGTTTTGAGAAGTTAATTTTTTTAATTTAATTTAATACTTTTTTTTATCTTAAGGTGTTTCTTCTGAACACTTTACTTTTTAAAATCTAAATACAAGTGTTAATTTTTTGTGTTTTATAATTTATTTAAAAATGTATTGAATTTTAGTACTATGTGTACTATTTTAATAAAAGTCCATTATGGCTTAAAATAAAATTACTTGTGAATTCTGTAAAATTCTGTACATTTCAAAGTTCAAATTTAGTTATAATATTTTTGACTAAAAACTCAAGCTAGGTATAAAATGTATTTAATTTAAACTAAAGGAATAGAATAAAATGAGTTTAAAAAACCTGTTTGAACACAGTAAAAATAAAATTGAAAGACTGGTTTAATATATCAATCATTATCTCTATTTCCACACATATTATGTGTAGTAGTTAAGGAAACTCAAAATACTATAGAAGGTAAGGATCAGTAAGAACTGACTCCTTCAAATAGTTGGAAGGAAAAACAAGGTTTCTACTATTTTAGGGTGGTTCTACCTCATCAATTTGATGCAATTTTTTGGACCACCTCTGTAATCTAATATAATCCCATTAGGGCTGAAGAAAACAGTATAGGGGCAAGGTTGTGTTATTGTAAATGTTCCCGTATGGTTACCCACCTTAGAACTAATTGCAAATTGTTTAGCTAAACATCAGCACTAATGCAGTGACTGAATGTGTCACCTTACACTGAAAGAGAATGCAAGGTTGTAAAAGAAAACAAAATAAAAATAATATTGAATATTCATAGGAAAAATTTAGTTAAAAATAAAAAAAAAAATTCATTAAATGATATTACAGTGGTACCAGGTACATTTTGAGATTTTTATCTGTATTGTTTTATTAATTGTATATTTGATTTGTAAATGTAAATAATCAATAAAATTATTTATTAAAAAATATTATTCTGTTAGAATAAAACAAAGTATTAGTTTAACTACATTAACATATTGAAAAGTTTCCAAACTAGAGGCTATACAATTTTGTTATTATAAAAATTATTATTCAACATAAAATTGTCCTTTACAATAATATTTCATGAGCACAAGGCTATCAACTTTTTACTCCTCTCTGTATTTTAAAGTATTTTTATCTTTTAAAATTCTAGATTAAAAATAATGTTGAAATTTTTATTGTTTCTTTTTAAAATTTTATTACCAATCTATATTTTTGATTAGTAAGTTAAAAGTTTTACCATATTAAAATTTTTTTGTATAAAATGTACAGTTATTATTTTAATAAGTTTTTATTAGAGCAAAATTTTTGGAAGAGTTAGTTTTGATTAGTTAAAAAATAACCAGTTTTTATATATTTTAATAATTCTTCCAGTCAACAGTAATACTATACATAATACTATATTTAACAGTAATAAATAACTTTACGCGAATGAAAATAATTATGTAAAAGTTTAATTTTAAAATTACATATTTCCATTTCAGGTTAAATTCCTAGAAGGAACGATAAAATGATCGCCTTTTTTTATTAAGTGGTTTTATGATAATAAAAGCTAATTGCTGGTGAATTCATTATATGTTTTTATTAGTTTAAAAATTCACGGAAAATTAGATTAAACAATTTTTTTGTCTCTAGAATTTATAGTGTATTGTGAAACACGAGAGTCAATGATTATATTATAAACTTCTATTTCTACCAGTAGTTCTGTTTGTATGATTAACACTAAATCATAAATTATGAAAATGTAATAATATTAGATAATTTTTAAGCATTGGCTACACAATTATAAAAACTTATAAAGTTGAACATTTTTTACTTATTCTCTTTACAGCATAAGATGAGCAAATTATACTTGCCCAACTATGATAGCAGTAAATTATATAAAACTCGCTGTAAAAGAGCTGAAAATTTAAATTAAATTCGCACCTTGATGAATATTTTGTTAGAATACAAATTTTTTTTTTTTAATATACATAAGTATAGTTTTAAGCCTTGTTGTCCACTTCCATTAAAAAAACATATTAATATTTTATTTTGATATAATGATCCATTAATTAAAATTATTCTACGGATTATTTTTTTGATGTTTTTTATTATAAAATGTTTTTTTTTTACTTTTATAAACTAAAATACGTTTAATATAATTATATGGTTATTCATCAACTAAACTCCTCCCTTGGTTTGGCTACAGGTTGACTCATATTGATTTTTATTTTCTTGGTAAACTTTTTAAAATGTATTATTATATAACTGTTTCAGGGAACTTCTTATTGTTGTACAATAACTAGTAAGGTTTCTCATTCCAAGGCTATAATCTAATGATAACGGAAAATAAATCAACTTTTTTAATTTATTTTATTATTATTATTGTTTTTTTTTCAAGTTTTAATTATTATAATAGTTTAAAAAAATTTTAACGATCAAAACATGTTTTCGTAAAAAACAAACCGTACATTTGTGCATTCATTTTTCAAGGCATAAACTGTATATTTTTCAATGAATTAACTTCAAAGTGAGATATATTATTATATTACTATTATCTAATATTATTTTTTTCTCAAAAAAATATCTGAGTCTGTTAAAAAAAAAAGTAGGTCCAAATTTTGTAATATAAAAATTAATTTCTACTTTTTCTGCACTCGAAAATCAAATCAATTTAATTTAATTTATTTTTTAAATTATAAAATTACATCTTTATTGCATTATTAATCCAAACACTTATTTAGATGATCATTTATAAATAACTATAATTTATGGAATCATTATAATATGTTCCAAAGATAATAAAAACTATATTGTTATTGAATTAACTTCATTTTAAATACAAAATATATTTTAAATAATATTAACCACAAATAATAAATTCAAATTTAATTATATTAACTGCTATGTATGATGTATTATAGACTAGTATAAAACAATTTTTTGAAATTTTACGCAGAAAATATGTTTTAGCTTCGATGCGAAGCTGAGAAGGTATTGGTTTTACTAAGATGTGTTTTTTTTTGTGTCTGTTACCACTTTTTCTCAGCTCTCACCGAACCGATTTCTTTCAATGATACGTCAAAAGATCACAAATCGTATCTAGTCGAAGACATTACCCTTCAAAATTGAAAAAAATTCCCTCGTTCCCCGTAAATGAGGGAAACCTCCAAAAAAATTACAAATTTAAAAATCGCTAATTTTCGATAGTTTTTCAATTTTTTTTATTTAAAAGTGCCATAACTTTTTCAAAAATAAACATATCAATATAATTCTTTTTTATATAGATGCATAATATCATTACCTTTCATTTGGTATATTTTTTTCATAAATTTAACCCTTAACCTGCCCACAAGGGGGGATTTAAAATGACAACTTTTTCACAAAAAATTAATTTTTTTAACTTAAATTTTGAAAATGTTCCGGAAGGTCTGACACTTTTATATATATCTTAAATTAAAGCTAATGTAATATGCTTTATCATGAAAAAAAAAAATTTCGGACTTTATCTTATCTTCATGGTGAAAATGGCTACCGAATGCTATTTTTGTGTGAAAATTTTCGATTTTGTATTTTTCATTTTTAACTTTATTATGCTATAACTTTTTGAAAAATGAATGAATCATTACAATTATTTTATGAGACGTAGTATTTATATAGATCTTTCATTCGACATACTATTTTTTAAATCGGACCATTTCCCTTAATATAGGGGGGATTCAAAACATAAAAATTCATATAGAAAGTAGAACTTTTTCAACTTAACTTTTGAAAGTGTTCCGGAAGGTCTGACACTTTTATATATATCTTAAATTAAAGCTAATGTAATATACTTTATAATGGTAAAAAAAAATTTCAGACTTTATTTTATCTTCATGGTGAAAACAGACATTAAACTTAATAAAAAAAATACAATATTTGTAAAAAAATTCTTTTTTGTATTTTTAACTTTATAATGGTATAACTTCTCGAAAGATGTATGGATCAATATAATTCTTTTTTTTGTAGATGCATGATGTCTTTACCTATCATTTGGTATATTTTTTTTATAAATCTGACTTTTTACCTGCCTACAGGGGGGGATTCAAAATGACAACTTTTTCACAAAAAATTGACTTTTTCAACTTAAATTTTGAAAGTGTTCCGGAAAGTCTGACACTTTTTTATATATATTAAATTAAAGCTAATGTAATGTACTTTATTATGTAAAAAACAAATTTCGGACTTTATTTTGTCTTCACGAAGAAAATGGCTACCAAATGCTATTATTGTGTGAAAATTCTCAATTTTATTTTTTACATTTTTAACTTTATAATGCTATAACTTATTGAAAAGTGTATTGATCAATATAATTTTTTTATGGGAAATTCTATTTTTTAATAATACCTTTTTCATTCGACATACTTTATCTTAATCAGGATATTAATAAGGAACTAGCAGTTTATGAAGCTTTTGGAATAATCCACCAATTTTTTAAAATTAAACACTATCTAAAGATTTGCATCGAAGCGTTTTTTTTTGATAGTGATTTTAATCACTGTCAGATATCATTATACTTGATCCAACTATGCCACGTCACCACTGTGCCGCGACCCCCCTGTGCTGGGTTTTTTACTTTGTCAGCAGCAGCCGCAAGGTTAGACGTATTTTTATGAGCTCGGGGTTTTTATTTGTTAAAAAACATGGAGGAAAGAATTTATATCAAATTTTGCGTAAAAAATGAAATAAAGTGTGTGAAATGTTAACAAAGGCCTGTGGTGAGTCTGCCATGAGTAAAACAGGGGTTTACAAGTGGTATAAGCGTTTCTATCATAGCCGTCAAGACGTTGAAGATGATGGATGGCCCAGCACATCAACAACCGATGAAAATGTGGAAAAATTAAAAGAAGTGATTATAAACGATTGCCGAATTACAATCAAAGAAATCGCTGATTATATTGGAATATCCATTGGCTCATGCCATGAAATTTTTTCAAATGTTTTCCGTATGAAACGTATAACAGCAAAATTTGTTTTAAAATTGTTGAATTTTGAATAAAAATAGCAACGAATAGTAATTGTTCAGGAGTTACTTAATGAAGTTAACAATGATGCAGAATTACTGAAACATGTTATAACAGGTGACGAAACATCGGTTTATGATACTAAGGCTCAATTATCTCAGTAGAAACATTCTGGATCGCTAAAACCGAAAATGGCTTGACAAGTGCGATCGAACATAAAGGTTAGCTCATTGTGTTCTTTGATTTTAATGGCATTGTGCATCATGAATTCTTGCCACGAGGTCAATAAGGAGTACTACTTACAAATTCGACGCCGTTTGCGTGAAGCAATCCGAAAAAAATTCCCAGATTTATGGCAAAACATTCATGGCTTTTACACCACGATATTGCACCTGTTCACACTTCATTACTTGTTCGTGAATTTTTGGCCAAAAACATTACTGTAACGATGCTCCATCCTCCATATTTGTCAAAGAGTCATCGTTTTACAAGCATAGATGACATTAAAAGCGTATCGCTGAATAAGCTGAAGGTTATCCCAAAGATCGAGTTAGAAAAATGTTTCGAAGATTGGAAGAAGCGTTGGCACAAGTGAATAATATCTAATGAAGGCGACAACATTAATGTAGACAAATAAATAAATATTTTTTTCAAAATACAAAAATTTCTGTTATTTTCTGAACACACCTCGTATAATAACAATTTAATAATAATAATAAAAACTATAGGGAGGTGATTTCCTTAGCCCATCCTACCATAAATAATTTATATCTAAAGCCATGGATTAGTGTACTTTTATACTGGAGAAATTTAAATAAGGTTTTAAATTTAAACTCTAGTATGACCTAAAACATAAATCTTTTTAGTAGGATTGGTTTTAAAATTAATTTGTCTAAAGAATTTAAAATTTCAGACAATATCGTATTTACAGTGATTCTTGAGTTCTTGACTCTCACATTCATAGCCGTATGGTAGTCAAATTTTTAAGGTGGGGCTAAATTACATTTTTTACCCTACAATATTTTTTTATATAACAATGAATATTATTTTATTAATTTTCTGGGAGGTTAAATTGTAAACTGAGGAACTAAGCCCCCATAGCCTCCTTACTTTACGCCTATGTTTCAATTCCATCGACATAAAATTATGATATAAAGTTATCCATTGCTTTAGTAATAGAGGGTTAAACTTACCTACTATTCTACCTTTTAACAATTATCTGGTCTCTACTTCCAATAATAAATTTCTAAATATGCCACTGATTACTGATTATTATAACACTTTTTTTAATCGATAGAGATAATATGTCTAAAATGTAAAAATATATTATATTTTAACGTAATTTGGATAACATGAACAATGAACAACTACTTAATATGTATAGATCTAAAGATACAAATTTTTATAACTTTCTTGAAATTACAGTTAATTTTCCGGAAACCATTATGTGTTGTTTTAATGTTATCTCATCGAGTTAAGAGTAATAACATACACAGAATTATTTTAAGGGGAATGTTACAACATATATGATTTCATGACCTTGTTTTTGTTGTTTAACTAAAAAAATGTTTCCATACAAGTTTAATCTAAACATTGATTTATTCTAATGATAAAATATTCTTATTTAAAATATATACATTTCTATTTCAGCCAAGTGTCATGTTGAAAACGTGGACCGAAGAATTTTTGAATGTGAGTACTTTATTTTTTTCTAATTTAACTTAAAAAAGTAAATATTATTCATTTAATTTAAAAGTATAACAATTAAATCAAAAATACCTTCACAGCTTTTAATTGACGGTTANAAAGTATAACAATTAAATCAAAAATACCTTCACAGCTTTTTAATTGACGGTAAAAAATAATTAAAAAATATTTCATTTAACTTAAGTTATTTAACATAACATATCAAGATGAAACACCTACTATTTCACTTTTTAGATATTTTTTGTAGTATTATTCACTTAAAAATTGTTTTTAAAACTTTTGATTTTTTTTGTAGTGTTTTGTTATTATTATTATATAGATTAATTATAGATTTGCTTTCTTAGACCGTTACAAGATTGGATCCCTATTTTATTGCACTTCATTGTCAAGAAGTTGGAGGAAAAAATTATGAAGAAAGCATGAAACATGTTAAATTTTTCGTTAGGTATTATCACTTTTAAAATATTATTTGAACAAGTTAGGATGATAAAATAACAAAAAAAAAATAAAAGATAGGTTTATACTTCTTTATTTTTAATAAAAATATCAGATGTACTTTTTATTCGTGTTTTAATTAATTAATTATAAACCTAAAATATCGTGCTAAATTGTTAAAATTCTTTAAATAGAATATTTATCAATTTTTCATATTTAATTTTTTAGTCTTCTAATGAATAGCAAAGAACTGAGGATCTTCAATCGAGCGCAAGTCTTTTTGGATGAAGAATTTACTTCGGCAGAAAACTTTACAGTAACTAGCCAAATATAATTGTTACGGTATATTTTTATTTTCGGCTTCCGAACTTTCATTCAGTTCGATGTTTTTACTTTTAACTTCATAGCCTCAAATATAAATAAATCATTGTATTTATCATATTTTTCATTAGTAAAAAAATTATATTATGCATTAATTTCTTTACTCATTTATACTTTTTTCAAATACTAATGTCTCTCGAATGTCTGTAATACTAGATAAATTATTTTTACGAAAAAATGTTTATAATTTTTATATGGTTGAATAGTTTTACTTATATAAAATTTAACTCAAACCCGTCTATAACCTCTTTGTAAAGTTGTTAGTTTATGGTGTAAATATTTGATTTGTTATAAGTTGAATTGAAAGATAAAATAAATCTTCCCTGATACACATTTTTTTTTTGAAATATTGTTTTTATAATGCAACTATAACACATAATGTTAAAAGAATTTTTTTACATTATTTTTTAAAATTACTATCTAGGTTAGGATTTATTAAAAATTGGAAAAGAGCAAAATTATTTAAAAAATAAATAATGAAGGATTATATATTTTTATTGGAAATTTCCACTTCAGTAATGATTATGTTTTTTTAAATAATTACAGCAAGCATATTGTACAAATATAACATCAATATTATTGTGTAAGGGTTTTTTCAACATTTAAATAATGACTGGGATTAACCAATAAATAAGCCGAATATAATATGAAACAATGAACTAGAATGTTTAATAAATATTTGGAGGGCTTATTATTATTCGTATCAGTCTTGGACAGAACTGAGTTTTTAAATTTTCTTTGAATGAACCGAAAAAAGAATAATATTTTTTAACGGGTCACAGAATTAAAACGTCGGGGTTTTTGAAAATACACCTGGATTTAATATTTACATATTCAATTGTCTGTTTTATTAAGTAATTTAATCATAACACAAATAAGAATATGTCTTGTATTTGTCTTCTACTTTTAAATGAAAAAAATCGATAAACATTAATTTTTTTGCGAAATAAAAAAAAATATACATTTTTTATATAGGTTAGTTAGTCCAAAAATGTTAGAAAATATTAACCAATTTTTCTTACTGATTTGGTCGGGGTTTTTGATTTTTTCTTAAAAAAGCCGTAAGAATTAATCATAAATTAATGTATATGTCAATTAGAAAATTATATAATACATGATATTTTTAATGTGTATTGTTAATCAGACAAAAATTTTTTCAGGCTCTTGGTAATATGTATTTTATACATAAATCAATAAATGATGTATTGTTATGGGATTTCAAAGGTAATTGTTTCTTTAAATTTAGTTTACAAATGTATGGGTTTTTGTGTCAAAATTTATATAATGAAATTTGGAACTAAATTTTTACTAATTAATGTTTTTTAGTTATTTATTTTAAATGAAATACCGTTTTTTTTTTTTTTAATTGACTTTAGACTTACAGTTTATACCCATAACTGAGACTAATGTTTACTCTGGAAGTATTGAAGATGTGTCCACCAAGGAAAAATCAAAATTCCCTCAAGAGTTTTTTCCAGAGGTGAAATAACGTAGTATTTTACATTTATATTTAATTTTTTTTTATTTAACTATAAAAAATAAGTTTTATAAGTATTAATAAGTTTTTATATGATAGTGCAAATGGTCTCGTAAGGGGTTTTTGAGAACTAGATGGAAACTTAATGGATCTACCTTTGATCTTGTAAATATTCATTTGTTTCACGATGCATCGAATTTCACTGCAATGGAATCTGTAAGTTTTGGAACCAATAATCATAAAACTACTATTTCTTTAAATTTGTTATATTTCGTATAAAGTTCGAGGTGTCAAAAATATGATAATAAAGGTGCAAAATCATTTTCGTGTTAGTATAGACTTATCTTGTGAANTATTTAGTATAAAGTTCGAGGTGTCAAAAATATGATAATAAAGGTGCAAAATCATTTTCGTGTTAGTATAGACTTGTTTGTGAATTTACACTAATAGGTATCATAGTTTATGATTAAATTCAGACACTGACAATATTTTATATTTATCTTTTTGTATAATAACATTTTTTTAATGCTATTTTTCAAAGTTTTCTACCTATATAATAAAAATTAATCACTTATGAATAATATTTACTGTTTAAAAGTATTTTATTTTACTGAAAATTAGATCTTGTAGCAAGAAGTTTTTTTTAATTATTTAATTTATCATAGGAATAAAATGTATGCATTTATTGTTATATTTTAAAAATTTTTTAGAAAATTAGTTAATAAATCATAACTATTTATTCATAATTAATAAAAATTAAAAAAATTAATTTTTTATTGATTTGTTGGAAATTGGATTAGTTGGACTATTTACTTTAAACTATTTATACCNAATTTTTTATTGATTTGTTGGAAATTGGATTAGTTGGACTATTTAATTTAAACTATTTATAACAAAAGATGAAGTAGATTTAACTAACAATTCTTATGAACTTTTGATCCAAAATAATTTTGCTGTAGTTTTTTTAAAAACAATTTTTGCATTATTAAAAAACTAAAATAAAAATATATTTTTGTTATTTGTCTTAAATAAGAAAAATTTATTTTTTCAATATAAAAAATTTCAAAATAGCAATTTTTATCACAAAATTTTAATTTGTTGATAACAACATAAAAAAGAAGTACTAATTGAGTTATAAGAGTATTAATATACAGTAGGTAAGAAGTATGCATTATAAATACACACCAGTACTAGCTATACCAAAGAGTTGTCAATTAGGTCTGATTCATTCTGTATTTATTGCATTATTAATGAGTAATTAAGTCTTTTTGTAATAATACAAGTTTATCTTTTCATCTTGTGAATAAATACATTCTATAAAGAGATAATTTTTTTGCTTAAGTTTTAAATGTTTTATTTTATTTTTTTAGCATCCATCTGTATACTCTATTATGCGACAAAAAGCTCTTGAATACACTTTAGAACGGTAAGTAATTAGTCCACCTAAAGGAGTGATGTATAGGTCCATAGTTATGGAGGTACTCAGTTGACACATTTTCATGATAAAAATAATTTCATTTTACTATGATATTGTCTTTTTTCATCTTTACTTCCAAGTTATGTAATGATTAAAAAAATGAAATTATCAAATAAACATAAATTTTCCACCAAAAATTATTTCAATTTTTAATTTATCTTTATGAAAATAGGTTCCGTGAATATGAATTTGGATATGTGCCATTTTTTTTATTTGGAGACTTCAACTTTCGAACTGACACAAAAGCTGTAATAATGGTATGATTAATGTATATACAAGAACTTTCTATTAACATTACTATATTTATTTATATATTGTTTTTTTTTTTTAGAAATTAGTAAAAGGTTTAGATTTAGTGAAAGACAATCTAGCTTCAGATAATTTAACACTTCAATATGCTGATAGTTCTAATGAAGTAAGTATTTTATTGATTCTAAAGATATATAAAAATTTATCACTAAAATTTCAATCAGTTATTAATTAGAAGTTGTTTAAAATAGGTAAATAATTGTAATGTAAGTAAAATGAATAAATATATCTATATGTTTTAAACTACTTTAACTATTTTTAACTTAGATTTTATATTTATTTATTTTCAGGTTGTATTAAAATTAGGTAAAAAAGAATTTTGTCACTTGGATCATCAAAATACATTTGTTTCAAAAACTGGATCGTGGGTAATCCAATTTTTTCACTAAATTAAATCATTATTATTTCTATAGAAAATTTTTAATTTAGTATTAATTTGGTATTTAGTTGAAAGATTTTGATCATGAGCTTAAGCCATTTAAAGACCAAATATTTGAATTTCCCATTAAATTTCAACCAAGTTATCCGTTTGAAGAAAATGAACAAGAAGGTAAAAATTATATGAAAACGCGATGCCCAGCTTGGTGTGATAGAGTCGTTTTAAGCACAGAAGCAAAATCATTATTAGATAAAAAAGTAATATGTTAAAATAACCATATAAATATATGGTTATAATAACAAAGCTACACAATTTCATATGAACTTAAATGTAACATAAAAGTTTTATTGAATTCAGGTATTTGATGAAGAAAGTTGTGAATTTGAGTATGATCTAATTGGAAAATATACTTGCATGGGAGATCATAAGGTATTACTTATTTTTGATTATCACAACTCTTGAATTTATGAAGTTTCCCTAAGTAGATTTTTCATTCTTTACAATTTATTTAAAAGTGAAATAATATATTACAAATACAATTAATTTTTATCTTGTGGTCGTTATATACAGAGTGATTCACTCTGTATATGAACAACTTAATCAATCGAAAAATAAAATTAATATTAATAATGTTTTTTCGTAATATAATAATTGTAATAATTGGTTAATAACAACTTTGGGATCAGTATTCTGGGAGTTATTGTCATATTTTCATCTCAGTTAGAGAAAAAAATATGGGCAAGAAATGTTTAGTTAAAAAAATTGAACACCCACTTCTCACCTCCAGTCATTACTTTAAATTGTTAATGAATTCCGAAATACTGTTCCATTTGTTATTAACGATCAGTCATTTTCTTAATTTGATTATTATCTATTAAATGAGCTAGTTAATTAAGGGTTTTGCATTTGAGAAATTAAAGTTGACATGTTTTTAAGATTTGAGAGATGAACATAAAAAAAACATTGTGATTGTAAAATTGAGAGAAACATTGAACTAAAAGAAATGAATAAAAAAATTATTAATATTAATTTTATTTTTTGATTAATTAAGTGATTAATGATAAGTGGAATTACTCTGTATGCTTTTGTATTACTTTTAGTTACTACTTGATTTTCTTTTTAAAATAGGCTTTATTTAAAAAATTTTTAAAATAACTTAATTTTAATACTTATATGATTATCAGGAGAAATTATACAGAAACCACCAATTTAGTGTTATTTCTTAAATGTTTTATAAATATTTTGCAGCCTGTATACTTGAAATTGGACATAATGAATAATGCAGGTACAGTGTTGCAGTGTGAATGTAAGCTTTACTGTGTGACTCCTAAAACTTCAAATTGTTCGCTGCATGCTTTATTGGGAGTAGATATAGATAAATGTGACCCTTTAAAAAGTTTGGATTGTAAAAGTAGCATGATAGCTTTAAGTGAAACCTCAAAAAGTTTTGCTTCGACACCGCCTCTTACAACCTTATCACCAATGACCCTAGTTACCTCTTCCTCCACCACTAGTACACCTCAAAATATAAATAGTCATAGAATAGTTATAACAGATGTTGACAAAGATGATGAAACATCATCTCCGAATACATCACCATCGTTTTCATGTGGAAATTTTCTACGTAAGAAAATTGGTGATATATATCAAGAAAATAAAACTGTTTCTTCATCGTGGTCTAATTGTGTATGCAAAACCAATAAATGGAAATTACCCATATTGGTACACAAAGCATGGAGACAAAATGGTCAACGTCGTGTTCGGCTAAAATCTAATGCCAGTCTCAATATGCCTCTGCAAAGGTATCAAAGTCATCATAGTTCATCAGATGAAGACTGGTTTGAAGAAATAGCTGAAGATGAAATAAACAGCGAAAAAAGTGAAAAAGATAATAACAGTATTTCTAACATTAGTTCTTATAAAGAAAATTATGCAGATCCTATGTCAAATCAATATTCAATTGAAAAATCTCAAATAGAGGAAAATAGTATAGAAACAACTGATGATTGTTCCAAAGCCACGACGAGTTCTAATGTATCCAAAAAATTTAAATGGTCCTCTTTTAGATTAAGAAAAATATGTGAAAAAAGTCAACCATTAAATACTTTTCCTGTTAGAACTCAAAAAGTACATAAAGTAAAGTCAAAAAATTCTTGTAAAATAATTTGATGTATACAATTCTTCATTTAAAAATATTAATAATGTTCATTTGATGGAATGATGTTATAGAAAAATTTAAATGAAAGAAACAAATTAACATGAACTTTACTTTTATTTGTCCATTAACTATAATTTTTAAATTTTCGACTATTTTCTATCAAAACGTACCAAAAAGCAAATAATTTTTTTTAAAATCTGTAGTACTCCAAATATTTTTAAATAATATTTCTGAATGCTTTTTAACCCTTTTTACCATTTAGACTGAGACTAGCGCCAGAGATTAAGCAATTAATTACTACTTAAATTATTTCTCTTTGTGTTCCTATTATAACATAATATACTAACTCACCTTATAAATAAATACACAATTGAAATTAAGACGTTTTAGAGCTAATGACTGGAAAGCTTTTGTTCTACTATTTTTATTGCTAATTTTATACTATTTCAGAGTGTTAAGTGATAATAAACAGTAGCATAGTGTAGTTCAACAGTATAAGACAATTGATAATTATTAAAATTGTTAATGTACATTTTTATTGTCAAAAAATACTTAATTTGTTTGAAATGTTAATTACAATTTTGTATTATCAATTAAAAATTGTCTTTATCTGTTTTGTTTTTACATTAACTTAAAAATGATGTGTGGCGTGTGAAAAAAAGTAAGACTTAATAAGACTTAGTAATTATTTTTATGGAACACTGAAGTAATTAACAATATACAATAAAATAATTATTAGTATGAAATTTCATGATTTATTTCTAAATTTACCAAAGATTGACTGAAAAAAATAAAAACAGTGATTGAGAAAAATATACCAAGTAAAGTTTATTTATTGTTGTTTTTTAATTTTTAAATATTACCAAAATCAAAAAGTACCATAAAAATGATTTAATTTTTTAAGTATTACTGTTTTATATGTATTTTGCACAAATTATTTTATTTTGCAGTAGCAGCATTTTGTTTTATGTTATGAATTATTTTACCGTTTTATTTTTTATTTATTTGTATAATTTGAAGTATTAATTGTTTTTTTAAACCTAACTAATTGATCAAAAATAAAACTGGCTTTTTTTAAGTCATGCACTGAATACATTTGTTTTTATTCTTATAATTTTACTTGCTATGAACTAAAAAATGTTAATATGTTTTTAATTTTTAATTAAGGTTTAACAAAAATAAATATATGGGAAAAGACAAATTTGGATACCGTAATAAATGCCGAACGTTTTATTCACTTAAAAGAAACTACTGTATAAATATAAGTCTTAAAAAATATTTTGTTATAAGTTTTATTGTATCGTATGTATATGATATGAAACAAAATTTGAAGTATTTAAGTGTTTAAATATTTAGATAGTAAATAATTTCTAATATCTTGATCAAGTAGTTTTATTAGTTAATTAAGGCGCGTTTCATAGGTAACAATTATATTTGTTTCGGCTTAATATTTTCTGAGTAATTATTCATTTTAAATCTAGTGTGGTCTTTGTGCAAAGATAACATTAAAAGTTATGGCACAAATTGTAGAAATAGATTAAAAAGTAGAACATTTAAAATTGTTTATTATACTCAACGTTTGTTTTAATAGTTACACAAAAAATAAACTTTATTCAAAATAGTTGACATAATATTAAATTATATATTTAACTCTAGAAATAAGTTTTGAGTTTTTACATTGTATGTGAACTGACCTGATTTATTCATATGTACATACATATTATATACCACTTTTATTAATAACTTTAGAATTTGAATTTTCTCGTGCATATGAAACCATAAAAACGATTTAGCACAAAATTATTTTATAATTTTTCAGAGTAAATATTAAGATTCTAATTAAAATTAGTATAATATTCAGGACTTTTAAATATCGGTAATTATTTAATTTGATTTGTAATTTTTCTATATTTATTGAAAGTCTTGTGTAAAATTTATGGAAAAGAGTTTTGCAGAAGTGGATAACTTTTTGTATCATGTTTCAGTCTGTATTTTTAGTCATTATATATTTATAATGAGTTATAAGATGGCAAATTTTTATAACTTCCAAAAAATTAATAGCTTCAACATTGTCTAATGCGAATAATAAAATTGGACTAGTATAATTTGCATTCCTCTAATTTAGTTTTATGAATGTTACAAAATAATATAGTGTAGAATTACAGATAATAAAAATAAATCATTCTTTAAAAGCTTATAAGAAAAAAATTAAGTAATTACTTATATTCTATTTATATATAAACTACTGGTTTTTATACATTTTTGTCTTGTAGTATTGATATTATTTTTATTTATATTTTTTCCATATATAATAAAAATAATCATAACAGTCGTGTTAAGATCAGTCTATATTTTAATATATTCAAACTTCTGAAATGACTCAATGTTTGATATTGACCAACTGTATATTTATTGTATTAGCCAATTAAAAACTTATATTGTCATTACTCAAAGAAAAAAAAAATAGGGTATTAATACTATTAAAAGATGTAAAGAAAAACCTAAAAAATATAAAAATATCTTTCGATTTGGGAAATAAAAAAAGTATATAAAATATTAATTTAAAATTTAAAAAATTAATTTAATACAAAATTAAGTTACCGTGATGAGAACTTCATCCTAAAATTAAACAATATAAATTTTAAACTTCTAGATACTTTTTTTTATATCCTTATATATTTTATGAAATGATAAATCATTATAATATAAATACTAACAATATAATATAGTACTAATAATATAATATAAATATACATTAGTTCAATAAATAATTAAAGAATAATAGTACTCGATACAAAAATATAAATATTTTAGTTTACAACATGGAATAAATTAAGCTCAAATTACGCAAAATAAAGTTAACTATTTTAATTTTTCATCATGCACATAATGAAATAATGTTTTATAATTATGTTCATAATCAAATGGAAAATCATAGTTTAATTTCTTTGCAATTAGGTATATACCACCTAAAGCTACAGTTTTATTTAGTAAAATTAAAGTAAATTCTTTTACAATTTTTTTATCTGAATTGCTTTGAAGTTGTTCAATAAAACCATTTTTGAGCAAATCCCAACTTTTCCACACAGAACCAACACAAACTACATGTAATCCTCCATTTTCATTATGTAACATCTATGAAAATTTAGTTAAAACTTATATATAAAAATATAATAGCAAATTATTTTTTAATATTACTTTATGAGCACTAGGATAAATTGCTTGTAATAATTTAGCTAACTCTTTACCAGCTTCATTAAAAATCCATATACTTAATTTATCACCTTTAATAGCCAAGTCTGCAATAATTTTACACAAACCAGCTATTTTTGATTTTGATTTTTTTTCTCCATAAAATACACTAATAAGATCAACTCTATAAAATAATAAGATTATTACTAGTGTTGTAATATAATGAAATATAAATGCTAAATTCATTAAATTATATTTGTTTCTATTTTATTAATCAATAATTAATGAATGTGTGGGTAATGTGTGACACAGTGGTTCAATCTGTTGTCTTTTTATTTCTGATGTTCAGCTCTGCTGTTTGTTCCCAAATGGATGACCATACGGGAATTTCAACAGTGACACACACCTCACCTACATACTGGTTTCCTTCACCATATCAGGTTGCATCAGTTCAACAATTGGTGTGAGAAAATTGTAAAATCATAAAGTAGAGCTGACCCCAAATAAATAGTTAGGATGAAGGCTAAGGAGATAATGATGAACAATTAATAATTATGAAACGTACATACCTTGAGAACCCAGTAAAATTATAGGCATTTATTAATACATGCAATTTTTGATCAAAAGAAAAGAAATATTTTATACATATCTAAATAATATCTAATATAATTTTCAATTTGTGAATCATACTATTAGTAAGGTTAAATACAAGTTAGATCTTTTATTTAAGAGTATTTTATGTTTGAATTATCTTTTTTTATATTAAGAACCCTAAAATGCTGTTTTATAGTTTTACTTACACTGCTTCTATTTGCAAATAACTTTTAATTGATTCCCATACTCTATCAATTGAATAATTATTTGGTGCAAAACTATATTCTTCTATATGATCTAAACAAATTTTTATACTTTTGTGTGCAATCCAATATGCTAACAAAAAAAAAAAATAATAATAATAATTAAGTATCTCAATAGTAAAATTATCCAGCCTATATAGCTCGGTTAGGGTAGTGCAACATCTCAGTACATAAATAACCAGGTTTAATTCTATTGTATTTAGCTACATGAATTTTCTAGTCCTCTCTATTTTAAGAGAGGACATTACATATAAATATGAATATAAAAAACTACTAAAGCTTTAACTTAACTAGCTTTTAAAGCTTTAAAATTTGATCTCATTTAATTTAAATAAGAACTAAAATAATAAAATAGGTTTGATTTAATTTACCACTTCCTTCATCTCCAAGTAGATGACCATTGCCTCCACATCTTTTTGTAGTGAAATCAGGATTCAATAAAAATCCATTAGAACCTGTTCCAGATATAATAACTGCTCCTCCTTAAAACAGACAAAAGTTTATAAAACAATTTAATTAGTACGATAAGTACTTATTTACCTGATTGACAAGCAAGTGCGATTGGAGCTAATGTATCACTAGCAACACTTATAATTTCGGCTAATTGAGGATAAAGTTTTTTTAAATCAGTTTCAATTTGTTCACAAAATATTACATCTTCACAGCCACTTAAACACAAACCCTGTGTAAATTTAATAAAAATTATATTTATACTACTGACTTAGTTTTATTATTATCTATATTTGAATGGATGAATATTTGCTAAGAAAAGAGATTCCATTTCAATTTCACCAGTTATAACCCACCACTTCTAAATATGTTTCATTTCATAATTTGATAAGTACTTTGGGTAATATAACTTTAATTATAATTTTACATAAATTGTAGGTATTTAATTTGGATATAAATACAATAGTATAATTATATAATCAAATACTAACCAACCCGTTTAATTTAGTATTGACATCCAGATTTGCTTTTTTTATTGCTTCTTTGATTAAATCATTCACACGCGACAAACAAGATTTAATTCCTAATGTCTAAAGTATAAAATACAATTATTTTTATAGTTAAAAATATAATTATCATAAATTAAATATATTATGTTTGTTGATACAAGAATGTAAGGTTAATTAAATAATTAGTTAAAAAAGTTAGAATTTAAATTCTGTTTAAATTAGAGAGAAAATTCATAAGCTAATACTTATTAATTTAATTCAAGATATAATTAAGCAAATAAATTTATCTTCTTTCACTCGTGTCTAATTTAATTCAATTCTCTTAATTTATTCTCACTAAAATTTTAGAGCTGTGTTCAAGGCTTGATTTTTTTGGACATAAAATACATTACTAATGTATGCATGTTTACATAAAAATATGTATGTATAGTTTAATATTTCAACAGTAATGTAAATTAAGAGTTATTGAATTATGTACATAAATACAATATCGGATTCTCAACATTTTTCAGAGAGATGTTGGATATTATATTTTTAAAATACATAAATGCATATCAGAATCTTACCTTTACATTATGTATTATATATAAACGTTGATATCTAGAAATACAGATCTTCTGATCACCCTCATAAACCTACTAGTGCATAAATAATTTTATAACTAGATAATGTGATCAAGGAAAACTATTTCTAACGATGGAATATTTTAAGTTTTTAGAATACCACTATATGGTTTAAAAACACTTAATTTTAATGTATGATCTCATTAAAAATTATTTTCATTAATTTATACATAAATGTATGGAAGGTAATTTTTAAATATATTATTAATATTTTTCATATTTATATAAATAATACTATCAATTATTAATATTACATAAATTATTTATTAGAATTTGGAAACAATAAAATAGTAATATACTGTATATAATAGATATTTTCAACCAAGAAAAATGATTATTAAGATTAATATTATAACATTTTAGTATTTTATTAAAACTTAATTGGCATACCCAAGGATTAGTGCCTTCTCCTAAAATTTCTGCCAAAATATCTCCTTTTCCATTAGTGATAACAACAGTGGAAACTGAAGCACCTCTGAGAAAATATTGTAAAAATAACAATAATCTAAGTTCGTGCTTTGGAACTTACCCTTCAATTCCACCAAATAGTACATCACTCATTCTTAGTTTCTACCTTCAGTTTAAATAATAATAGATGTAATTTTTTTCTTTTGTAGTACAAAATATTTTTCTAGCTACTGTAACTACTTCAAGGCTTTGTATAAAACTTAAAGATTGAGAAGTTGGTTGCTATAACCATAATAATTCAAAATGAATAAATTAGCATAAAAATAATTTAATTTATTGTACTTCGAAGATATTTTTTCATTATATTACTTATTGTCTTAACTTTAAACTATGTCACTCACACCAAACAATTATTTTGTATTTAGTTTTTAAGTGATTTGGGTGTGGTTTATTATAATCGGTGCAGCCAAGAATTATAAGAATAGCTGCTTAATTTTAGAATTGTCATCAAATATGAGAGTCATGAAACCAAAGTGTACTTTGGACTGCTGATATCTAACCGGTCCTGACAATTCACATTATCATTAAGTATAATTTAGTCTATACATACGTATATTTAATGATAAGTATAGGTAATATCTATACTCATTAAACAAATTACATGTCTTTCTCGTCAAACTGTTTTTATAGTGCATTATAGCTATTACTAAGAAATTACTAAGAAATAAAAATGATTTTATTTATTTATTAAATTAACGGGCATAGCCTTTTTTTACAATCACAGGTTGAAACAATTTCTTAAAATTTAATATAATTTACAACAATTCATTAAAAATACTAGGTCAAAATAATAAGACAAATATACAAAATTAATAAAATTTATAGCTACACAAAATATGATAAAACAATAAGGTTAATAAGATAGCACATGATGGCTCATATTGGCCTAATTTAAAATTTATTTAAACAGCTCTTTTTATAAATAATAGAACTAATTGGGGTGAAAAATGGATAATAGGAACGTGAATTTCTCCATGGAACTTTAAAATTAATTAATGACGAGAGATAGAGTGAGTCAATTTTACTATCCAGCAATCCTTTAAAAATTTTAACCCTGCATCAAATCTGTGATCTGCCACGATGTCAAATTGAATTTGTTTGCAACGGGAGTATAATCATGAGGGCATGTTGAAATTCAACATAAATCTAGCATACCGAAGAATCTTCGTTGCACTCTTTCAATTTGACAGGCAAGAATGATAACTCCAAACAATAGCATCATACTTAAGAATTTTGACGAATATATGTTATAGTTTATTATAAAATATATATTTAATTATTATAGTTAATTGTAAAGTTTGAGACAATTATTTTTTCCATCGTCGAATGACTTATTACTAAATAATTTATAACAAGAATAGTAGTGTTTTAATGTATTATCAGCACATGGATAGGTGTCTAGTGAGGATTAACTTTTCAGCTTTGATGACGGTAGTTAGATCACTATTATACTAAAAAAAACTAAATTAAAACAATGTTTATAAAGAGTGGATTTTACGTAAAATACAGTACAAGGTAATGAACAAAGCCTTAGGGATAAATAGAAAAATAACTAAATAATAAACTTGGTCTGCAGAGTCACTATACAGGATGTTCAGTAAGTCAGGAAACGGGTTTCTATTGTTCTCATTGTTACAAACTTTACAAAAATCTTTTTTAGTTTATAATGCAAGTATATAAGAAATATATGCTTAAAATGGTTATAATAACCATTAACATTTACTTTATTTAATTTTAAAAAAAGTCATGAAAAATAAAATTTTATTTATACTCCGTTGTTATAAAAATTTTACCAT